GTATGTTTAACTTTTTGAGAAATTGACAAACTGTTACCCAATGTGACTGTATCATTCTTTTTAGAGGATTTTTTCCTTAAGGCATGTGCACTCATCGGGGAGGGAGAGAGAGAGAGAGAGAGGGAGAGAGAGAGAAAGTGAGAAATCAACCCCCCTTCCCCAGGGAGGATGGCCATGCTGCAATCCCTTTTCCTCCATTCTCCTCCCAGGATTTTGTGTATGCATGTGCCCAGCATGATTTTTAAGCCACCAGGTTCAGGACTTGAACCACTATCAGCCATATGGGAGTCCAGCGATGTAATGGTTATGTCATCTTCTGGCACCAATGGCTATACTATTTTATATTCCCACCAGCAATATGTGAGGATTCTAATTTCTCCACATCTTCAGCGACACTTGTTTCTATTCTTGCCATCCTAGAACCTTTGTAGTGGAATCTCATTACAGTTTCAATTTTAATTTCTCTGATCATTTATAATATTGAGCATTTTTTCATATGTTGATTGACAATTGGTAAATTTACTTTGGAGAAATATCCATTTCAGTTCTTTTCTGGTTTTTTTTTTATCAGTTTTTTTCTTGTTTTTGTTGTTTTTAAAGTTGTTTATATAGTATGAATATCAACCCCTAATCTGATATGTGATTTGCAAATATTTTTTTTTTCCATTCCATAGGTTGTTTCTTTACTCTGTTGATAATGTCAACTGAATCACAAGAGTTTTTAATTTTATTGAAGTTCAGTTTATCTATTGTTTCATTTATTGCTTATGCAATTTTGGCTTTGTGTTTTCTCTCTCTCTCCATGATATCTCTCTTGTCTGTCTTACATCTCTTTCCTTATTTTTTTCTCTTTTTTCTCAGCTTATCAAGTGGTTTTATAGCTACTTTCACTAGGTCCTTTAAACTTCCACATGATAGCCAGGACATAAGATGACTTTGTGTATAATGTCCCATAATCATACTGAAGATATCACAAATCCAGCTCCTAAGCTGACTAAATGAATGTCTTTTCACCTTTCTAGGCCAACAGCTTCCTATTGGTATTACTAAGTTATAGCTCCAGGCAACATGTCCAAAAAACGTTTTTTAGCCTCCACACCACATGCTCTGTATTCAGGCTATTTCCTTGGCTCTAATTCCAAGCATTTCCCTGGATTACTTAATAGTCTTTTCTGCTCCACAGGATTCAAGCTCCTTCCTGACACTCCTATACTGAAGATACACTTTCTGCTCAGGGCATGGCTATGCCACAGCTTCTGTCCTGTGGTGTAGGTTTGCAGGCTGTATAGTAGTTCTCTTTTGTTTATGGTGACCAGAGCTGTTTGTCTCTAGAACTGGCCTTTTAAAAATATATTTATTTTATTTTACTTTACCCATCCTCTGTGTGTTTAGAGCAAAGGAGAGTGTGTGTCAGAGAATGAACTTATTAGACCACCTTGACCAGAATTTGCAGCAGATGTTTTCATCTTTTAATAACTGAATTGGATTAGCCTACAGCTTATTAATTTAATTACACTGGATCTAACTATGCAGATAACATTGAAGAAAATAACACAAACCCTTTAAAATCCTCAACTAGGTTCACTCACTGACTACATATTCAGAGATTTTAAAAAGCTGCTATTTAGTGGTGGCAGTTAAAGTCATCTCTTCTATAGCTATCAACCAAAGCTCCTGAGATGAATGCATGAGTGAGAGTTAGCCAGGCATTGGGAGGAGGCCAAAAAGGCATGTGAGTCTGGGGGAGGCAATACGTGATGTTCCTGGGGTAGGAAGGGGAAGCAAAGAGCTAGCCATAGTTAATAAGTCTAGCTGCTAGACAAAGTATGGTAAATTATGTCAGATGTTTTGAGAGCCACCCATTCCACTCCCAAGGTTTTGAAGATGGTTTCAACTTATCTCTGTTTGTCTCTAGCACTAGCTATAGCATCACACACCTACTCTGGGATGAATTTAAACTGCCAAACTATGACTCTGACTCAAAGGACTTGGAAACCCAGTAGGCCAGTCCTATGTCCCCAACAGACCAGGTGAGAACCAGGTCAGCTCTGCATATGCTTGTAGGTGACCATGTTGACCTTAGAGGACCCACCTGACCTGGGAATATTATGATCTTACAAAGAACAACACCATTACTTCACAAGTAATTCTAGGTTTAAAGTTATTTTCCTCCTAATGGTCTATAGTCCTAAGAGCACAATAACCATAAGCAAGGATGAGACAAAAGTGGTTTCCAGAGAATATAGAGTAAGGTCTTTACAGTGCAAAAAGAAAGTTAGTACAGTTGAAGCAAATCCAACTTTAGTGTTAGTCTTTTTATGAAGATAGTTTGTTTCTATATATCATAAATTACATTGGAGAGTACTCACTCACATATTCATCTACCCAGCCTCATAAACATTAATGAGTCCCTGATATATGACTGTCATCTTGATAGCATTGAAGGCATAAAGGAATAAGGCAGTCCCTACCATGGAAAAATGCACCTATCAATGGGCAAAGGACTTAGAAACAAATCATTATAATGAAATATTAACTTTACCTGGGTGATTTGGAGATAACCACAAAGAAAAATTAACCAAAGACATCCAAAGTAAGGAGCATTTCTGGTAGTCCCAGAGGCAAGAAAGTTCAAAGACTACTCAGCAGACTGAGTTTAATCATTGTACTGGAGTGGAAAAGCTACAGAAATTGAAGTTGAAATAGCAGGTAGGCATAAATTGTATTTCATTTGTTCTAAGATGCCACTAATTGTAAAGTGAACTATTATTTCATGTAAAACCAAGAGAAAAGTGCTGCTAATTAAATCATCACATATCAGGGCCAGCACATAGCATGGCGGTTAAGGGCACTGGACTCCTACATTCAGTTCAAGTCCTGGACCTGGCAGCTTGCTTTCTCACTTTCTCTCTCTTTCTCTGTCCCTCTCTGGTCAAATTAAAATAAATAAATAAAAATAAATAAGTAAAATAATTATTTAAAAATAATAAATAAATAAATCATAACTTATCATTGATAGTAAAGCATCTTGGTTTCAGAGGGGTCAAAGCACGAGGCAACATGCCTCTCGAAATGGATGAAATCAAGTAATTTCCAAAAGAAGAAGTGTAAAACATGAATTAACATTAGAAGGAAGGGTGTTTTTTTTTGTTTTTTTTTTATACTTTTACTACAGGGCATATGCACTCACTAGACAGACAGAGACAGAGAGACAGAGAGTAAGAAATAACCCCCTGGGGGGATGGTCACACTGCCATCCCGTCTCCTCAATTCTCTTCCCGGGATCTTGGGCACACATGCACATGTGTCTGGCATAAGTTTCAAGCCACTGGGTCTGGGACTTGAACTGGTTGATCACATGGGAGTTGAGAGCCTCGACTACTCCCCATCTGCTGGTCTAGAAAGCAGCTTTTTAAAAAGCTAAAATAAATGCAAATGAATATGGATAAAATACCATTTTGACTTTTTTTGGAGAGGTTTTTGCTATAAGGTGCGCGTGCTCACCAGACAGAGAGAGACAAAGACAGATAGCGAGAAATCACCCCCTAGAGGGGATGGCCACGCCACAATCCCTTCTCTATTCTCCTCTTGGGATCTTGGGCATGCACGCACACACACTCGGCGTGAGTTTTAAGCCACCGGATCCGGGGCTCGAACTGTGATCGAGCATGGGAGTCCAGCAACATAGCCATTATGCTAACTGCTCATCCCAAAATACCATTTTTCTTATCAAATTGGTAAAAAAAAAAAAGAATGTTTAGCTAGCAAGGAGAGTAAAATGGGCAAACTCATGCTAAAAATGTAAGTTGATATTAATTTTCTGAAATCACTTTGACAATTATGTGTCAGGAACCTAAACATGTATATATTCCTACCTACAGGAATCTATTCTAAATCCATACTCATGGACTCAAGAAAATATTTATGCCCAAGAATATAAGGTTGTAAAAACAAAAATGCATGCTATACATATATAAATTATCAATGAATATATAAATAAATAGTGATGTAATCATGGAAATATTAGCCAATTACTGAAATATTTGTTGCAGTATTTAATGAGAGAGAAAATCTCATAATGTAACATCAAATTCTAAAAGGGAGAAAACAAACTTCCACTTAAAGTGTAATCTGAATCTAAGAAAAAAAGTACTTTATAAAGACTGGAGTTTTAGTTAAATTTGAGCGGTAACAATATTGGTGATATTTTCCTTCTTATACTTTTTATTATTTTTCTAAAATGGCCATATTTACCTTTTATAACCTCTCCTTCCCAATTTTCGAAGTTCTACTTGTAAACATTAAATTGTAGTAGGGAATATAAGACTGTGCTCAGAGATAGAATTATCAATAGGTGCTCTTTATACTAACTAATAATTGACACATAATAATCATGAATGCTAAAAATTGTCCTAGTGCATGTTAGATGGGATCCAATACATGTTATATCTGACTTTACCTTTATTTTGATCTTTATTAGGATCTAGAAAGATGAGAAAACAGAAATTTCATGTAGCTAAAGAAGTCTAGGTGAGCTTACACAATTTGAACATGGCAAAGCTGGGATTTGAACCACAGATTCAC